CGCCCGCACTCAACGAAACTCGGGGGTCTAGATCAGTGTTTCTCAACCAGTGGTAGGAGTCCACACAACTGAACTTAGGAGAAAACTGAATTTTCGTTTTAAATTTTACAGCGCTTTACTATTTTTCTACTTTTTACACCCAAACATTTCATCGCCCACCCAGCTACGAGTAAGTTGTTTAAACAAATGTGTAGCAAAGATAGAAAAAATCAACGAAACTCGGGGGTCTAGATCAGTGTTTCTCAACCAGTGGTAGGAGTCCACACAACTGAACTTAGGAGAAAACTGAATTTTCGTTTTAAATTTTACAGCGCTTTACTATTTTTCTACTTTTTACACCCAAACATTTCATCGCCCACCCAGCTACGAGTAAGTTGTTTAAACAAATGTGTAGCAAAGATAGAAAAAATGTTGTGTCTGAAAACTGTAGGTACTGGGGGTACTTCTATTTTTTTAAAGGTACTTTATAAAAAAAGGTTGAGAAACATTGATCTAGATTATCCCTGACAGGTGTCTGTCCAAGCTGCTCTTCAATCTCTCCAGGAATGGAGATTCCACAACCCCCCTGGGCTATTTATTCCAGTGCTTCACCACCCTGACAGTTGAGAAGTTTTTCCTAATGTCCAACTTAAACCTCCCTTGCTGCAATTTAACCCCATTGCTTCTTGTCCCGTCCTCAGAGGCCAAGGAGAACAATTTGTCTCCCTCTTCCCTGTAACACCCTTTTAGATACCTGAAAACCGCTCTCCTGTTCCCTCTCAGTCTTCTCTTTTCCCAACGAAACAAACCCAATTCCTTCAGCCTTCCTACAGGTCTAGGTCCTGTTCTCTAGACCTTTCATCATTTGTGTTGCTCTTCTCTGGAACCTCTCCAATTTCTCCCCATCTTTCCTGAAATGTGGGGACACAGAACTGGACACAAGACTAGAACTGAGCCTAATCAGCACAGAGCAGAGCGGCAGAATGACGTCTCATGTCCAACCTCAACCTCTCTTGCTGCAGTTTAAGCCCATTGCTTCTTGTCCTGTCCTCAGAGGCCAAGGAGAACAATTTTTCTCCCTCCTCCTTGTAACACCCTTTTAGATACTTGAAAACAGCTCTCCTGTCCCCTCAGTCTTCTCTTCTCCAAACTAAACTAGCCCAGTGTGACGGCGCGTTGGGGTCCCCCGTCTCCTGCACCCCCGAAATGGCACAAACAGACTCCACCAGCCAGTAGAATAGAGGTGGTTTATTGCTTCTCCAGGATACAGCACAGCACAGATGTCATCAGGTTACAGGGCAGGCCTAGGATGCCTCAGCCCCCCTTGATGGGGGGCGGGGGTCTCGGCTTCTAAACCCACTAGCCTGTTGCTGAAGCTGCCAGACAGAAACTAACTCCCTCTCCTCCAGCCCTGCCCCCCAGCCAGGGCAGCATCCACCTTCCTTTGTTCCTCTCCATGGGGGATGGCTGGTCAGACAGGCTGAGACACCCTTTGCATAATGACTCGTCCTGTTTTGCTGGGCCGTGGTACCAACTGCAGCCAGTGGGGGTTACCCCAGAGCCAGCAGCATAGAAACCAGCCAGGTACCCCCACTACGTCACACCCAGTTCTTTCAGTTTTCTCTCCTAGCTCATGTCTTCTAGACCTTTCATCGTTTGTGTTGCTCTTCCCTGGACCCTCTCCAGTTTCCCTGCAGTTTTCCATCTTTCTTATTGGGAGTGGATGTCACTAGTGCAGCGGCCACATTGTGTCTGGGAGGCGTCCACTCGGCCCCCGCAAGCTGCTGGCAACTCCTGGCGTGGCCCCCGGCCTCCCGCCCCCCACCGCCCGGCGGCCGCATGGGCCAGGTTCACGGAGCTGCTGGAGGCCCCCGACAGATGGCAGAGGAGGAACCAGTGAGCACCATGGCCCGTGGCCCGTCCAAAGCTCGCCTGGCGCCCCTCCATTGAGGAGGCCTGTGGCCTGCCGTTTGTCTGGTCTCCCCGCTCTGCAGCCACGGGGCAAGAGCGACCCTCCCTGCTCCCAAAGAGCACCCTTGTTCAAAGGAGTGAGGGGAAACTGAGGC